TACAACAACATAAAGACATGGGGCCTGATTTTCAGATGGTTTGTGCTTCTTTAAAAAGTTGTAAATGTGTTTGTGGGTGGAGAGCAGATCTTAAAAGGAGGTGGAAAGTGATTTGCAATTAGCCCATTCAAACCATTGTTTGCATATATGTGCCTTCATCAATTTGCAGATCATATCCTTAGATCATGGGGGGTGTATTCAAATGTAAAATTTATCACGCGAAAAGCAAGTCACCACATCGTTAAAAACTCAACTGCTGTCATAGTTTTTACATATATTTTAGCACTTCTGCATGTGAGGAATCTTTCTCTCCTTTGAGTGAGTAAAATGTAACTGTAGACGAAGCACGGTTGTTATTTATTCTTCTACTTTTGTTTGTGACACTTTGAGAGAGGGCGTTATTTTTTCAAATAACTACCTACAACTACATGGCTTAGAACATCTTCTTTCCTTCATGACAACTCTTAAAACACCAGTAGAAAATGCAATCTGCTTATTTCAATGAGAGAACATCTAAACATTTCTACAGCAATCTTAGACGACCTGCATAACTCTAAATTACTGCACTTACTAAATTACACTTATTTAAAAAAATAAGTGTAATTTAGCACCTGTTATTAGAAATCTTTAAAGATTAGACCCTAAATAGGTCCATAGAGAGTAATCAGAGGAGCAAAGAGGCTCACAAGAATGACAAGAAACCAAGAGGACCTAGGTGTTACCTACGACGCCCTCACATGTAGGACACAGCCGCTTTTTAAAGCTTGCAGACATGTTTTAAGCTGTGTTGCTCTGTCTTATAAAATGTAAGGAAAATCTGTAGTAGTTTGTGTTTGTGATGTGGTAAATGTTTTAAGGGTGTTGATACGTTTGGAGGTTACAGTATAAAAAAATAGCTCATTAAGAAAAAATTGCTCAGATACAGAACTGAAGACTTCAGTTCAGAGCAAAGAACCCCCAGAATTTGATCTAACTCAAATTTGATCTAACTCAGAGTTTGCAGTTTTTCAAATGGATGCAAACATATTTAGGGTGTTTCTTGTTATATTGTTTAAAGCTACAGTGTGTAATTTTCAGCGACATCTAACGTCCAGACTGCAGACCGCAGCAACATGAACATCTCCCCCCCACCGCTTCTCCCCCCCAACAGTACGGCGAGCGTTACGGGACAAAATGTCTTCCACGACGTCCGCATCACCTACCTTCTCAAGTGATGAGGTTTGTTTACATAGATAATTTTACAGATAGTATTTCATTAGTCTGTGTGTTCAGTACCGTCTCAGTTCATCTCTCTCAACTTGCCGTAGTTACTTTCGAGCGTAATGGGCGATCTCGCAATCGCTAGTTTGTTGGCTCTGCGCTGCCGTAGCGCAAAGATGTCTGCCTCCATGGCTGCGAGACCCGCTCCTATGTAATTATAAATAACGAATTCTAAGGCAACGCAAATATTAAGGTTAAGAGGCTGAGCTCGTAGATGATGATAAATAACATAGTTATGTATAATATATTACATTTCTGACTGTATATCCCTGTAATTATTACACACTGTAGCTTTAAGCACCAAGCAATACAAATTTGAGAACTGTTTTTTATAAAAACAAAATTGAGTAATGAAGCTCCCGGATCTTACCTAAGTTGTAGGGGCATTTGTTTTTAAAATTTGAAGGCAAATATTGGTTAACATTTTTTTATAAATCTACATTTTGGTCCTCCTAAATAAGAAGAATGGGTGTTTTATTTAAATGACGTGTATTAATGCATAGGGAGGCGGGGAATTAAAACCTCCGGATCCGTTTACTGACTGGATAGAGCCCTGAAACTCCAAAATCAGACTCACCTGTTTTCTTGGAAGCACAAAGACAGCAGCGGGCCTGACTCAGGCCTCAGGGTTATGTATGTCAGACAGTCTCCATTGAGGAAGTTAAATATACGAATCTTTCTATCAGAGCAGCCGGTAATAACACGGAGGTAAGTGAGGGTTAAAGATTTCACCGCCCTGCAGAAAGTCCAGAAAGCATTCATTTAAAATCTTAAATGCTTAAGTCCTACACCAAAGATTTGGTTCTTACTCTGGGTGGCTGAACGTCATGAGGCATCCTGAGGCTCCACAGTTGACGCTCCAGGCCATGACGTTGCCTTTAGAGTCGCCGGACAGAAGGTGCCACTCATCTAAAAACAAACACTTCACCGAGCTCCTGTGGGCTTTGATCACCTTCAGAAACATGATGCATTAGTCACTTGTTGTAAAAATAAACATATGAAATAAAACCAGGCCAAAAAAAAAAAACAATTTTATATATTTTCTGACTTTTAGCAACGATCCATTCTCCATGTTCCAGATTTTCACCACTCCCTGATTACAGCTGCTGTAGATGGTAGCTCTGTTGATCTTCACACACTGGACAGAAGCGCGGTGTCTGAACCTCAAACCCTGGAGACGCTGCCCGGTGTGCAGACTCCAAACTGTCAAAGCAGTAGGTTATAGTTTCAAATGGAGAATATTTTTGATCCACATTTACTTTATTTTTCTTTACTGGGGACAAAATTCAAACAGTTTGAAATTCTAGTTTTACCAAACTTCACAATGTTTAACATGATATCAACTGCCA